AATGCTCACTTTAGTTACTCTTCCTTTCGAATGATTCTGGAAACTATCATTATCTGTTTCAATATTTATGGCTCATTTCTCTTGTACTATAATTTCCCCCTCTTTCTAGTTGCTTTACATATTATATTGGAATTGTACACTTTCTCTTTCAGTTTGTTACTATGGTAAATGTAATCTCAGGGTAAACCTAACTCCACTTCCTTCAGACCTATCTAGGGACATTTTAAAATATTTATTATTTTCACCCTGTGAAGTTGAAAAGAGGTGTGAACTCTTTTAAAATCCAAGGGATTGTCTACATGCATTATGCATGCAGGTTTCATTTTAATTGAGTTTTTGAAGCAAATTAATGAGATTGCACATCACAAGAAAGATCCTGTGTTTATCATGCTTTAACCGACTTTTGATACATTTCAAGTTGACACAATAGGATTTTTCGGAATGACCAGTGCCTTTATATAGGGATTATATAAATTCACGCCTACAAATCCAAAATGAATAGAAGTAGCAATGATCCTAACTATATTGTATTTGTCCTTATGCAATCACTGTCTCAGCAACACTTTTAGTTTATACAGATATAGTACAATTACTATATAGTGATTCTGCCATGATTTTTCTGTATTCCAGTGACTCTCAGGTTATAATCTGTCTTGTGCAAAAAGACTACGTTTGCAGCTTCTGTTAAAGGTAGTAAAAACCTGCAGTGCCAATAACTATGCTGCAAATGTGTAACACACTGTGAAGCTTATACTGGAACTGTATTTAAATTATTAAATGTATTTGTGGTCCTTGAAAGTCTTAATAGACCTTGTAACTGACCTCTGCTGTGACTCTGACTCACTAGAAATTGTTAAAAGATCAGAGATAAAAGTAAAGATTCCTGATGAAGACTGAAGACAGCTCACGACCTTTAGTACAACAAGGTGTAGAGCTGGATGAACACAGCAGGCCAAGCAGCATCAAAGGAATAGGAAAGCTGACATTTCAGGTCTGGACCCTTCTTCAGAAATGGGGGAGGGGAAGGGGGTTCTGAAATAAATAGGGAGAGAGGGGGAGGCGGATAGAAGATGGATAAAGGAGAAGATAGGTGGAGAGGAGACAGACAGGTCAAAGAAGTGGGGATGGAGCCAGTAAAGGTGAGTGTAGGTGGGGAGTTGGGGTGGGGATAGGTCAGTCCAGAGGGGACAGACAGGTCAAGGAGGTGGGATGAGGCTGGGAGGTAGGAGGTGGGAGGAGGGGATAGGTGGGAGGAAGGACAGGTTAGGGAGGCAGGGACGAGCTGGGGGCTGGTTTTGGGATGCGGTAGGGGGAGGGGAGATTTTGAAGCTTGTGAAATCCACATTGATACTATTGGGCTGCAGGGTTCCCAAGCGAAATATGAGGTGCTGTTCCTGTAACCTTCGGGTGGCATCGTTGTGGCACTGGAGGAGGCCCAGGATGGACATGTCGTCTGAGGAATGGGAGGGAGAGTTGAAGTGGTTCGCGACTGGGAGGTGCAGTCGTTTGTTGCGAACCGAGCTAGGTGTTCTGCAAAGTGGTCCCCAAGCCTCCGCTTGGTTTCCCCGATGTAGAGGAGGCCACATCGGGAACAGCGGATGCAGTATACCACATTGGCAGATGTGCAGGTGAACATCTGTTTGATGTGGAAAGTCTTCTTGGGGCCTGGGATGGGGGTGACGGAGGAGGTGTAGGGGCAGGTGTAGCACTTCCTGCGGTTGCAGGGAAAAGTGCCGGGTGAGGTGGGGCTGGAGGGGAGTGTGGAGCGGACAAGGGAGTCCCGGAGAGAGTGGTCCCTTCGGAAAGCAGATAAGGGTGGGGAGGGAAAAATGTCCTTGGTGGTGGGGTCGGATTGCAGATGGCGGAAGTGCCGGAGGATGATGCATTGGATCCGGAGGTTGGTGGGGTGGTATGTCAGGACGAGGGGGATTCTGTTTTGGTTGTTATTGCGGGGAGGGGGTGTGAGGGATGAGTTGCGGGAAATGCAAGAGACACGGTTGAGGGCATTTTCGACCACTGTGGAGGGGAAGTCATGTTAAGTCTGTTTTTCTCTCCACAGATGCTGCTAGACACACTCAGCTTCTCCAGCACTTTGTTTTTATTTCTGATTTCAAGCATCCACACTACCTTGCTTTTATATAACTTGTTTCTTCACTGCAGAAGCATTTTAATGTAAATAGGATAGAATTTTCCCGGAAGCTGTATAGAAATGAATAACACATGCAAACAATTTAAAATTAATCTTTAAAATCAAGTCTATTGCTAGGATATCACTCTAATCAGAACTATCTTTCATACTATCTTTCTGCTATTATGGTACTGAAATGTAAGTGGGAAGTTTTTGTTAGAGACTTAGGTTAATCCAATCCTCGAAATGTATGTGGGTATAACACAGTGTGGAGCTGGAGGAACACAGCAGGCCAGACAGCATCAGAGGAGCAGGAAAGCTGATGTTTCGGGTCGGAACAATGATGCTCCCTGGCCAGCTGTGTTTCTCCAGCTCCACACTGTGTTATCTCTGACTACAGCATTGGGAGTCCTTACTACCTCCCAATGTATGTGGGTATACTGTTCAACATTGTTAAACAATAACCCCAAGTCTCATTGTTGAAGATAATTGCATCAGTGAATTACGTTAAAATTCCCACTGAAAGTCATCGATAAAAGATATAAACTGCATGGCTAGTCCTGTTCCAACATGTTCCCACAGGATGGGTTAAGTTAAGATTTTGTCCATCAATGCTTCTGAGAAAAGTTTTGTCATCCAAAATTCCAACTGACTTTATTCTTTTGACCACTGCTGACTAAGTGTCTCCGTAACCTTTGATCTCCTTACTAATCAAGAACCTATCTATTTCTGTCTTAAAGATACTCAATGACTTGGCCTCTATGGCTTTCTGCAGAAATGAGTTCCACAGATTCACCACTATCTGGTTGAGTAAATTCTTCATCATCTCAATTCTAAGGTGTCATCCCTTGACTCTGAGGCTGTGACCTGGGTTCTGGTCTCTCCTAACAGTGGAAACATCTTTTCCACATGTACTCTTTCCAAGCTTGTCAGCATTCCGTAAGTTTCAATCAGATTCCCCCCTCAGCCTTCTAAACTCCGAGTACAAATCCGAATCTCAGTCCCAACTCAAAGCAAAATACAGAGATCCTAAAAATCTCACTGTGTTTTGGTTTGTTGTTAAGCCAGATCCTGCTATCTGATTTGCATTTCACTCACACTTGAAATGTAGAGTCAATCCGATGCAAGTCACTTCAGGTTGACCCTATAGTTGTGATGCATTTGCACTGGAAGATAGAAAACAAAAACCAGCAAAATTCCAGAAGCAATTTTAGATTAGCCTGCATCTGACAATGCAAGTTAAATATTTTGAACCAAATGCTGTCCCCGTTGGGAGTTCAACAATAGAATCATCCTAAACTGTGAAGGAAATTAAACTCAATTGTGCATATGTTTCACATCCTCTTTGTTGACATGAGGCATCCCTTCTCAGATCACCATCCCCATCTCAGCAGTTTGCTTAAAGTCTGTTGTTTTTTTCAATCTCTATCACTGATTTGACAGCTTCGGCCTGCATCTGCTTTATAGCCCAGCTTGATTCACTTCTTTTGTTTCTAAATAGGGCCTTCCGAACAAAAAGCTTTGCAATATAAACACGTGACCATTGATTTTTCAGTTGATACCAGAAGAATCCTTGTACCACACACGGCAGTCAAACTCAACAGTTCATTCTAATTCCACATTTATCTGAAAACTGAAAGAAGCAATTGACCTTATGTATTTAAAAGAGTGCTAGCCCCAAGAAAGAATATCTCAAACTTAATTTTTCTTCCACCAGCAGGAAGCATTGAAGGGAAATGACTTACTAAGTACCAAGGCATCTGAACAGGATTTAATAGCAAGGAGAATGGTGGTTATTCTGACTCCTTCATCTCAATATGCCAAATGGTGAAGGATTTTTTTTGAGTGTTCTTTTAATTTTGTCTTCTTTCTAATATGTTTCATAGTTTCCTTTCAATGTGTTCCCAGTATGTACTGTTCCCCAGTAGGAAAGTGATCAAATTTATGCCTCTTCTGTTATTGATCGCTATTAATCTTTTGAGAACTTCAGTCAACCAGTCCCTCCTTGGAATGCACTCAGTGCACCTCTGACACAGCTAACATCAAGAACTGGCCTTGTGTTAATCACAGATATCAAACAATGTGCAACTTCTACATGTCCATTCAGATGGTAGAGTAAATACATTGTATCACCAAAATTCATTAATATTATTGTATAATGCATCATTATATAACTTTTTGTTATAGTGTCCCTGTGACAAAATGGCAGTTTTCTTTTGTAAAACTGTACATTTCTCTCTAGTCCTGGTATCACACATTTTAATTGACACATGTTTTAAATAAAAATGCAAGCAAAACAAAATTCTTGTCAAATTTGCAAAATAATCCCCCAGTCTAGCAATAGATGTCGTGTATATTGTATGGAGAACTGCCTTAAACATGGGCATTAAATTTACAAGCTAAGCCTTTGATTAAGAAGCAGTAACCATGCAGTAACCATGCAGCGTATGCCACATTGCATTTGCTTTCTGTTATAGCTTAAATTGCTTTTTGAGGAAAGTCTTCATGACGTGCCTATAGCTCTGGAAGGTAAAACATCCTGTTCCTACATCCACTTTCCATTTACATCCCTATTCACTTCAGATAAAATACATGGTCTAATAACTCAGTAAAGCATCAGAATGAAACGTCACGTGTCTGTGTATTGGCAGAATATTGGGTAATTCCATCTTTCAATACTGACACTTTTCTGTGGTTAATCATTACCATGGACATTGCAATTTGTTTATGAGAACTGTGAAAATGCTGAATGAGGTTTTTATCTTAAAATGTATGTTTAAAAAACCCAGTTACATTACACAAATATGATTTTCACACACTGCATCTATATCATTCTCTTTTCAGAAACTTTCACTTATAATGGTCAGTCCGTTTATTCGGGTGTTGTGCACGCTGACTCAGGGGAGTCCAGAGTTGGGCATTTTGGGGCAATAGCCTTGTAACTGTAATATTCCACAACTTGCTTTGGAACTTCTGCTAAGACACATTTAGCCAAAGCTGCCGGAGAGGCCTGGAACACAGATCAGGTCATTAGTTGTGAAACCTACTGCTTTTTGTTTCAATTTAACGTATTTCCATGTCAAGCACCTTTCAAAAGTTATCGAACAGCAATATAGTTAAAGCAAAATAAATTAATTCAAGCTTTAAAGAACATTATCACCATAACAATGTTAGTCTCAAATATTTACAAACAACATGTTCCATTTGCATTATGCCTTTCATATAATCAGACACCCCAAGATATTTCACAGCAGCATTCATTATAACATTTGACATGAAGCCAAATAAGATTTTGACTTGGATTTTGCAGTCACTGCCAAAATAATGGTGCACACGACTGATCTTGGAAAAAGTGATCTCTGTGGAGTGGTGTGATGTAGATTTTGCCTTTGCTGATGTCAGTTTAAATCTGGGGTCAAGGCCAGGGGATCAGGGAGTCCAGCAACAGCAATATTAACAAACAGGGTGAGCAGTCTATCACAGAGAATTATTTTCAAGGACGACAAACCAAAGAGTATAAAGCACCGAAAGTTTCATTCAACTAACATATTTTGTAAAGAGTGAAATAAATGATCAGAATGGGATTAAGTTAAGGCAGAAATGTTGGCATGATAGAGAAAAATAACTAAAATTATTTTTAAAAGTGATTTTTTAAAAAATCACAATGGAGAAATTTAACATGCCACTTATACAAAATTAGTCTCTGAGGAACATTGAAGCTGTTCAGTATTAATTACAGATTGAGCCTGGAATTTTCCACCCCAGAGAGTTATGGAGGCTAGATCACTGAAAGTATTTAGGGAAGAGATAAATAGATTTCAGAAGTATTGGGGAGGTGAAGGCTACAAGGAGCTGGCACAAAACAGGAGTTCAGGCTTGGGGCAGATTAGCCATACTCTGATAGAATTGTGGGGCAGGCTTGAGGGGCTAAATGGCCTTCTGCTGCTCCTATTTCCTATGTTCTTATGAGTGCACCAATAAAAACCCAGTTTCACCTCATTCTGCAAGAATTTTTACAGTGAAACTAATAGTGTAATAGGGCAGGCTTTGGCAGGTCAGTGATTTCCACTTGATTGTAATCTGGAGATCTTCAGCTGTTTAATAACACGTGGGGAAGCACAAAATCATGAGTGTCAATGCCTGGATCTCCAGATTTAAATGTGCATGTGTGAACTACACAAGATGCCGTCAGTTTCAGACAACTTACATTGACAAACTCTAACGCTTTCACCATCAGTCCTATCATAACATCTGGACCATTAGGAAAGCTTGATCAAAAAGGTAGTTTTTAGGGAAATACAGGTAGAGAGGTAAAAAGATTTGGGAAAGAATTTAACAACTTGGGATCATGGTACCTGAAGACACAGCCACCAATGATGGATCGATTAAAAATGGGAGATGTGCAAAAGGCCAGAATGGGAGGAATTCACAGATCTTGGAACATTTGACAGTATTGAAGAGATTGCAGAAAAGGATAACACGATCGATTCCAGTGATGAGGAAACTTTTGTAATGATGATATATCAGAGAAGTTGGGACTGTTTACCTTGGAAAAGAAAAGGCTGAGCGGATATTTGATAGATATATTCAAAATCATGAGGAATCAAGACAAAGCGCTTAGGAAGAACTGTTCCCATTTATGAAAGGATCAAGAATAAGAGAACATAAGTTTAAAACAGTTGGCAAAGGAAGCAAGGTGACATGAGGAAAACTTTTTTTAACAAAGCGTGTGCAAAGTCTGGAGTGAACTGCCTGAAAGTGTGCTGGAGGCAAGTTCCATCAAGGCGTTCAAAAGGGAATTGGATTGTTATTTGAATGTGCATGGTTAGGGGAGAAGGCAGGGGAATGGCACTAAGTGAATTGCTCAGTCAGAGAACTAGCACACATGATCAGCTGGATAATTTTGGTAATGTAACAATTTTGATATTTCAGAGGAGGATACAGAGATAAGTAACGGCAAGACAATGGAATGATTTGGAAACAAAGATGAGAAATTTAAAATTGTTGTGATCTACAGGTAAAACAACCTTACTTCTCTATGACAATCTCCAGGAGAACATTTTGAGAGCAAGATCAAGGACAGAAGTCTTGGCCCCTTGTGCCACTTCTGGCCCAGTCCCCTGGCCCTAGCCACTGCCCTCTACTTGAGCACAGCCAGCTCCCTGGAGCCTGGGTTCCAGTTATTGGGCCTTGATGTACTTCCCTGTTTGGGAGACATTGCTAAAATATGGCACTGCTTTTTGCCTGGTCTCTGACATCTTCAAGGGTAGGTGGTGATGTTTCTGGGTTGCAGACAGCGAGACTCTGTCCAAATGCCTTTAAATATGATGCCTGGATGGTGCTGGTGGCCTTCAGAACTTCCTCCTCATAGAATCTGATGTTTTACATGAGCAGACATATATAATGAATTGATATTTATATGGAGAAAATCTAGCCCCTCCAGGCCAGCCGTGGAGCACCTCAAAAGACGGAAATCCGCTCAAATTGGGCCAACGTTTAGCTGGTTAGAGTCACGCCTTGCACAAAGAAAGATGGTTGTAGTTGTTGGAGGTCAGTCAGCTCAGCCCCAGGTCATCTCTGCAGGACTTTTGCAGGGTAATGTCCTAGGCCCAACCATCTTCAGCTGCTTCATCAACGACCTTCATTCCATCATAAGGTCTGAAGTGGGGATGGCTGCATGGACAATGATCAGCACCGTTCACAACAGCTCAGATACTGAAGTAGTCCATGTCCAAATGCAGCAAGACCTGGACAATATTGAGGTGTGGAATGGCAAGTGTCAAGTGACATTCGCACCAACAAGACAGAATCTAGACATCACTCCTTGAAATTCAATAGTATTCCCATCGATGGATCCTCAACATCCTGGGGAGTCCCCATTGACCATAAAATGAATTGGATTAGCCACGCAAATGCTTGGGGCTCTTGTGATGCAGTGGTAGTGTTCCTTCCTCTGGTCCAAGAGTCCTGAGTTCAAGGCCTACAAACTCCACGGGTGTATAATAACATCCCTGAACAGGTTGGTTAGAACAAATATCTACAAATACTGTGGATGCAAGAACAGGCCAAAGGCTAGTAATCCTACAATGAGTAACCATTCCCTGATTCACAAAAGCCTGTCCACTATTTAAAATTCACTAGTCAACAGTGTGATGGATACATTCCCAACTTGCGTGGATGATTGTAACCCCAACAACATAGAGTCATAGAGTCATACAGCACGGCAACAGACCGTTCAGTCCAACTACTCCACGCTGACCATGTTCCCAACCTAAAATAATCCCATTTACCTGCATTTGGCCCATATTGTTCCAAATCTTTCCAATTCATGTACTTATTCAAATGTCTTTTAAATGGCGTAACTGAACCTGCATCCACCACTTCCTCTGGCATTTCATTCCACACACAAACCACTCTCTGTGTAAAAAAGGTGCTCCTCGTGTCCTTTTTAAGTCTTTCTCCTCTCATCTTAAAAATATGCTCGCTAGTTTTGAACTCTGCCACCCTAGGGAAATTCACCTTATCTATGACCCTCATGATTTTATAAAGCTCTATAAGGTCACCCTTCAACCTCCTATGCTCCAGTGAAGAAAGTCCCAGCCTATCCAGCCTATTTTTATAACTTAAACCCTCCATTCCTGGCAACATTTTGGTAAATCTTTTCTGATCCCCCTCTAATTTAATAATATCCATCCTATAGCATGGTTACTGCACACAGCACTCCAGAAGAGGCCTCACGACTGTCCTGTACAACCTCAGCATGATGTCCCAATTCGTATCCTCAAAGATCTGAGCTATGAAGGCAAGTGTGCTACATGCTTTGTTAATCATCCTGTTTACCTGCGATGCAAATTTCAAAGAATTATGTATCTGAACTCCTAGATCGCTCTTATTCTACAACACGACACAGGGCCCTACCATTAATTATATAAGTCATGCCCTCTTCTTTTTACCAAAATGCAATACCTTGCATTTATCCAAATTAAACTCCATTTGCCACTCCTCAGCCCACTGAACCAATTGATCATGATTTCTTTGTAATCTCAGATAACCTTCTTCACTGTCCACTATACCACCAATTTTGGTGTCATCTGCAAACTTACTAACCATACCTTCTATATTCTCATCTAAGTCACTCATATAAATGACAAATAAAAGTGGACCCAGTACTGATCCTTGTGGAACACAGCTGGTTACAGGCTGCCAGTTCGAAAAACCCTCCATCACCATCCTATGTCTCCTACGGTCAAGCAAATTTTGTATCCAATTGTTAAGCTCACCCTGAATCTGTGATCTAACTTTACTGATTAGTACTGAAGAAGCTTAACCCTATCCAAGACAAAGCAGCCTGCTTGACTGGTACTACATCCACAAACATTCATTCCCTCCACTACTGACACATAATAGCAACCGTGTCCACCGTATATGAAATGCACAGCAGTAATTCAACAAGGATCCTTAGCCAGCACTTTCAAAACCCATGTCTACTACCATCTAGAAGGAGAAAAACAGCAGATATGTAGGAACACCACCACCTGCAAAGTCCCTCCGAGTCATTCACCATCCTGACTTGGCAATACATCATTGTTCCTTTAGTGTCAATGGGTCAGAATCCTGGAACATGCTCCCTAGCAGCATTGTGGTGTACCTACACCAAATGGACTGCAGCAGTTCAAGGAGACAGCCCACTATCACATTCTCAAAGGCAAGTGGGAACTGGTAAAAAAATTACTGGCCCTGACTGCTATATCCCATGACTGAAGAATGAAAATTCATGATCTTTGGATCTCTCGTGATTTAGAATAAAATCCTTCAGTGCATCAATCACTCATTATTTTATAAACTTGGATAATACTCCCAAGCAATCATTTTCCCAATAAAATTATATTTAGTTTCCTAGATCAATGCTGAGATCCACAGCCATCTTTACTGTTCTTTTCTAAATTATTTCTTCTGTCATCTTTGTTTTTTTTTGCTTTGCTGGATTTCCTATATCTGCAATTAATACAATGGATTTGCCCATAAATCTGCAAATGAGGGGTGTTGGATATTACACTGACTGAAATGCAGATAAATTGCTTTCAGAATTACTAATCTTGAAACCAAAAAAGAGAAAATATGTCTAACATGACACTTATCATGACGTTCAGTACTGCAGTGTTTGGTTATTCTGCTTTCTGGTTAATTAGGAGTCAAGATGTTGCCAACTGCAGTTTTTGATTAATAGTCATTTTCATTGAGCGCATGATCTCAACAGTTTTATTAGCACATCGCTATTCATGAGAACTTTGATCTTCTTGTGTATTTGTTGTCTCGACAAGAACCGTGAGTAAGTCATTACAGGAAAGGAATCTTCTTATCTCTAAACACAAAAGATCTGTTTAGTCATTTGTTCTTGCATTCTGTCACCTCTGTAGTGGTTGCATGAATGTTAAATAGAATTTTTAGAGTTAGTAAAATAACCACAGTGTCTCACTTTACACTTCAGCTTTCATGCTGTGAAATAGGAAATTTGATCATTGTCAGGAAAGGTGAGTGTAATCAGCAGAAGGGAGCCCGTCTATCTAATAATAAGTAGCTCCAGCAGAGAACAGGAAGATCATAGAAACAGCTAGAAGAATCAAACAATGTTCTAGATGGATAGCAGGGGTGAATCTGATGCAAGGCAAGATTCTCAACAATTGCTCTAATGATGTTAAATTACTGCTCAAAATCTCTGGACAGAAACATAGAAACTGTGCTAAGATGGACCATTTAAAAAGCATCGCCTTAACAAAAACACATTAGTTAATGATGATGTTAAAAAGCCAGAAAGAGGAATTTTATACTTGGTCATCACTTCTAGCCTACAGTGTAAACATAAAGATGCACTGAGTTCACTGTGAAGGTTCAGCACCTTGCTCCACAGGTGTAACTCTACCAAAAGGTATGTACAATAATAGGAAACATAATTCAAAAAGTACTTTAGTTCTTACATTTTTAAATTCACGGAAGGGGACAAACTGAACAATATCTCGTAACACAGGTTCCCCCTTTGGAGATCGTAAAACCCCATCATCACCATCCAGAATCTGCATATCTGTAAAATCCGCATTGCCAACACCAACAATGATGATGGACATTGGCAGGTATGATGCTCGGACTATTGCTTCCCTTGTATCTGCCATGTCAGTGACAACACCATCTGTTAGAATCAGCAGGATAAAGTATTGCTGTAAAGACAAAAACAAGGCACAATCAAGACGGAAACATCCTCATATAAAGACCTTGAAGCAAGTAGCATCATGTTACTTTTCTAGTTTTGCACCAGCAAATTGCATGCAGAATTACTAAATCGCCTGTCAGAATTATCTCAAAAATTATAGAGATGGTAACTTCTGATTGGGAATGATTGAATCAGCTGCCATTGGGTGCCCAATGTAGCCATTAGTACTCAGTCTCTCCAGTCTTCTCTGCCATTTGATAAGATTATGGCCTTATCGCCATTTTCTTCCATATTCTGGGATTTCTCTCTTCCCTTTGAATGTGAGCGAAGACACTCAGCATCCGCAGGCTAATCATTCAGTGCAATTTCACCGCTAAATTGAATCCTTCATTCACGTAACAAATGTACATCGGCAATTTTCAGCAGAAATCGTGGGAGGTAGCTACTAAATGCAGGAATCCTAGAAGATTTATTTTGTTCCAGGCTAAGGGATGTTGAAATACAATCACACATCAAAGCTGAGATTGCCAATGGAGCATGAGACAAGAATCTATGCTCAGCCCTCCTGGCTGAAAGTAAAATCCTGCGGTTGCTGGAAATGTGAATGAAGAACAAAAAAAAAAGCTGTAGAAATTCAGCATATTGGGCAGCATTTGTGGACAGACAGAGTTAACCTTTCATCAGAAGCAAAGAGAAATAGAAACGTGAATGATTGTAACCCAGTGGAAGAGGGGAGAGAACAGGAGGAGCAAAGGAAAATATCAGAGATAGGGTGGAGGTTGAAGGGGATCAAATAGGAAAAGATTTCAAAATGCAACAGCCAAAATGAGTTGTAATGAATATAGCAAATAAACAAAGGTTGTGTCCAAATGAGGTATGGATTATTACACAAAACCATCCAAATGCACTGTGAAAGGATAAAGGAACAAACAAGACAAAGACCAACTCAGCATAAGGACAGGGAATGAACAACAATATAGGGAACAAGACAATGGCAAAGGCTATCACCTAAAGAACTCAATATAGACTGCTGAGTTCAAAGGTACGGTTTCATTCCTTCAGCTTGTGTGAGCTTCATTTGAGCACTGTAGCAAGCCATGGGATAAAAACTCAGCCAGGAAGCATTGTAGGGAATTGAAATCACAAGCAACTGGAACCTAGAGTTCATGCCTGTGGACAGAACAGACATGTACCACAAAACCATCACCTTGTCTGCCTTCCTACACTGAGGAAACCACATGCTGTTCAATTCTGTTTCTCTCCAAAGACATTGCCTAAGCTACCAAGATTTCCAGCTTTTTTTCATTCCTATTGCCTTAGCACATGGACATAGTGCACTAGCTCACCAGTCCAGTTAAATAGCCTTAAGCAATATTTCAGTCTGCCCCAGCAACAACAGGTCAGAAGAAAGGATTGAGGGATGAAATGATGATTGCTAGCTACTTCCTTGATGTGTTTCTGAGAATTTTTTTTACTAAGTTATACGTACAGATGCTTCTTTTGTCTTCTCCTCCTCAGCAGCCACTTTAGCCACTTTCCCTATAATAGGTGACACATTGGTTGGACCATAGAGCTGAATTTTGGGTAGACAGGTCTGATATGATTCAACAACTCCCTGTATTCCTTAAACCAAACAAAAACATAATTCAATTAGAAGATAACAAGGTGTAGAGCTGGATGAACACAGCAGGCCCAGCAGCATCAGAGGAGCAGGAAAGCTGACGTTTTGGGTCCAGACCCTTCTTCATAAATGAGGGAGGGGAAGGGGATTCTGAAATAAACAGGGGGAGAGGGGGAGGCGGATAGAAGATGGATAAAGGAGAAGATAGGTGGAGAGGAGACAGACAGGTCAAAGAGGCAGGGGTGGAGCCAGTAAAGGTGAGTGTAGGTGGGGAGGTAGGGAGGAGATAGGTCAGTCCAGAGAGGACAGACAGGTCAAGGGGGCGGGATGAGGCTGGTAGGTAGATGGGGGTGGGGCTTGAGGTGGGAGGAGGGGATAGGTGGGAGGAAGGACAGGTTAGGGAGGCGGGAACGAGCTGGGCTGGTTTTGGGATGCGGTCCCAACTATCCTACTATCCTACTATTCCTACAATCTCTAATTCAATTAGAAGTTGCTTTTAAATTTATATAATTATACAAAGCATCAGAAACCATGAGCACTATACACAAAAACAGAGATTGATACCATCCACATCTGCATGACCAATTCTCCTGCAGCGAAAGCTAACACATCGCATATACTGAAACAGGTTAGTTGTTAATTGTGCTAATGCTATACCACTTTTGTGGCTGGACTTATGAGATGGCATTCATTTGCTTCTGAACAAACTACATTCTCATCACATTAGGGCATACTTTAGGAGATCATTGATCATCTTTGAGTGAGAGGGTCTCCTTAGGAAGGTTCACAAATTACAACACTAAAAACAATTTGCAATCTGACTCGACAGTCATACTGCATTGCTGTGAATTTTAAATTATATCACAAGGCAACAAATGAGAAAGCAACTTACACATTTCATTGAATGCAACTGGTTTCAGCTTACCTTCACATTCGTCATTTTCCGAATTGAAATTAATTGCAAAATTATGAGAAACCTGTAAAAGAAAATAATCCAGTGAAATGGAATTAGTCATATTCATTAGGAGACCATATTCTACAACTTTGGCTGATGTAAGCTGTATGACCTACATGGCATGACCTCTTCATTCTCCATTGGCAAAGAGACTCTGAAGATGACTCACATTGAGTTTGCAATTATAACAGGTAATGAATCTTGTGTGAAGTATCCCTTTCATATTCACAGCAGTGAAAATCACATCGGAAAAGAGCATAAGCAGGTAACATCTGCCTAAGGTTAAATTTAATTTTCATTCCAATTCTGAAGCTCATTTCTCCATTGTTTGTGATGGTGGATTCTAATTATTTATAAAATGAACAATAGATAACGTATTTTATTGATATACTGCTGGCAATGTTAATGGAAGGGAAATATCAATGGCATTTTATCATATTGCCCCAGTGTTTCTGTGAACAATCTATTCATTTGGTAATACACAAACTTGAGTATTGCTGAAGAAAGATGCAGGCTTTCGAAGTTTTTGTCTTTTACCCTTCAGGGCAGAATTGCAATAATTTTTCTTTTATTTATTTGTTCACGGGATGTGTGAGTCATGGGCTATGCCAACATTTATTGCCAATTGCTAATTGCTCAGGTGAAGATCACAGTGATGTGCCTTCTTGAACAGTGGAGTGTAAGGATACCAATAATGCTATAAGAAAGCAAGTCTAAGGCCCCAGACAATCTTTCCAGATCCAGCAGAGACTCACCTGCGCTTCATCCAGCCTCATCTATTGCATCTGTTGCTCCTGATGTAGTCTCCCCTATGTCAGGGAGACCAAACACAGACTCGGGGACCGGTTCGTGAAGCATCTGCGCTCTGCATGCAACAACCGACCTGACCTTCTGGTTACCATCTGTTTTAATTCCCCCTCCCACTCTGCTGGTCACATGTCCATCATTGGCTCCTCCACTGTTAGAATGAGGTCAAATGTAAACTGGAGGTACAACACCTGATATTTCGCTTTGGAAGCTTACAGCCCAATGGCCATAACATTGAATTCACCAGCTTCAAAATCCCTCCACTCCCAGTCTTATCCCCTGTCAAGCCCTCCCCCTCCTGACCGGACCTAACCTGTCCATCTTCATACTCACCTATCTACTCCACCCTTCCCACAGACCAATCACAATAACCCCCTATGTGCATCCACCTATCACCATCTCTCCTACCTTTTCCTCTGCTCCACTCCCCCTACCTCTATTTATTTCTGGGCTCCCCCTGCCCACACCAGTCCTGACAAAGGGTTTCGGCCCAAAACATTGACTTTTCTGCTCCTCTGATGCTGTCTGGCCTGCTGAGCTTTTCCAGCTTCGCACATATAGACTCTGGCTTCCAGCATCTGCAGTCCTATTGTCTCCGAGCAAGTTCCAGTGATTTGACTCAGTGACAGTGAAGGAACAGTGATGTAGTTCAAGTTAGGCTGATGTGCAGACCAGAGGGGAACTTGCATGTGGTGGCGTTCTTATACAACTGCTGCACCTATCCTTCTAGCTGTTAATGAGTGTCATCTTAGAAGGAGTAGTTGGAAGACCCTTGGTGAATTTCCGCTATGTATGTTGTAGGTGGTACATGTTGTTGCCACTGGGCTTCAGTGGTGGAGGGATTGAAGGTTGAAGGTGGTGAATACCAAATCTCAAAGGGAACAACAATTTATACTGCATGGGAAGGGGATATTGATTGGTTGGCAAGGAGAATGCACCACGGAGCTGTTCACTACCAAGATCTTACTCAAATTCAAACCAATCGAGTCAACTCTAACTGATCAAGGCATTTCATGTCAAATGCACCAGGAAATATCTGGCCCCCAAGCTTTTGTTTAGTTGAGAAAGGTGAAATGCATGAAGATGTTCTTTCTGTTTGCAAAGGACAGGTTAAAAAAAAATAGTGTGACATGTAAATATTAAGCTAGAACAGCTTGCAAATTAGTAGTGAAACTTCTATAAAGCCAAAGAGATTTCAGCAATTAGCTAAAGGAGCAACATGTAAATAAAGAAATTTTTGCTTGCTTGAGTCCACAGTCAGACGTTAATGGAATCCCATGAGTTTCTGTATCACTTTGGAAACAGTCTGAGGTCTCCATTAGCAGCAACCACGGAAGGAAACTGGGCAATAAAAAGAGGCAAAGAAGGGTCAAAATTTGAGAGAAAGCCATCAACAAAACTATCTGAATGCAGTCCAGCAGAGAAGTACACTGCTGCGGACTCATCAGAGAAAACCTACTCCACTTACCATGTGGAGGGAAATGACAGGGGCACTGAGTGCCAACTTTTTCACTACCTAAGTGTAGGCACACAATCTGGATATTGAGTGAATGGTGCTAATTCTACTCAGGGCTGTGAAGGCAGTGTGCTGCAGCAGCTCACAAAAGCAACAATGGTGTTAGCTATGCATGTTGGGAAAAATGGCCGGATGGCCCCATCCTGCTGTTGCCTTGTTGTTTTGCCAAGTTGGATGAATTCCCGAGCTTCGCAGAAAGAAATGTTAATTGTCTGATGATGCATTTCCAAACTGCACCCTTCCATCATGCTATACAGATCTTGTCACTGCCTGAAATGAGACAACACGATAAAACTGTCTAGCCATGGATAGGTACAGGGATGGGCAGATGTTGCTGCAGGTCACAAGCATGACGGTGAAGATCCTCAATCACCTCTTTGATCAAGTGATTTCTTTTTTCTCTCTGTTACTCTCTAAACCCATCACAATCCTGATTTGGAAGCAGACTGCCAATCATTCACTGTAACTGCACCAAAATCGAGAACCCCCTCCCTAACAACACCTACACCAAAAGGACTACAGTGGTTGAGGAAGACAGCTCACCACAACATGCTCAAGAGCACTTCAGGTGCAAAGATCTTTAAAATGTCAAAAACAGGTGAAGAAAATAATCAAGAAAGCTTATGGAATGCTGGCCATTATACCTAGAGGGCTGGAGTTTAAGAGTGCAGAAGTTAAACTGCAATTATACAAAACCCTAGTGAGATCCCACTTGGAGTACTGTGAGCAGATCTGGACACCAAACCTTGGGAAGGAGATATTGGCTTTGGAGGGAGTACAATGTAGGTTTACAAGAATGATACCTGGACTTCAGGGGTTAGGTCATAAAGTGAGATTATACAAATTAGGCCCATTTTCTCTAGATTTTAGAAGGTTAAGGGGTGATCTGATTGAAGTTTTTAAGGTATTAACAGGAAAAGAAGATAAATTATTTCCACTAGTTGGGGTTTCTAGAACTAGGGGGCATAGTTTGAGAATTAGGGCCAGACCATTTAGGAGAGATGTCAAGAAGCATTTCTAAACACAAAAGTGCTAGATATTTGGAATTTTTCCACAAACAGCAGTGGATGCTGGATAAGTTGTTGATTTAAAAGCTGTTTTGTTGAGCAAAGTTATTAAGACCTATGGGTCAATGGCATGATTATGGAGGTAGGCCACAGATCAGCCATGATCTCACTGAATGGTGGAATAGACCTGAGGGGCTGAATAGCCTAATCCTGTTCCTATGCTCCTAATTTGGAATGGGCAGTAAAGATCGGTCTAGCAAGTGAAGTCTGCGTTCCCTTAAGTCTTCTTAGGGCCTGTGTTGCAGATACTTTTAGGAAGAAAATGGTTATCTTTTAGGGCACTATCTTCTCAACTGCTGTCTCACTGTCCTTTGGCCCTGGGTCTTCTGCTCCTCTTCTTCCACGATCATGACATGCAAAAATGTGCCCTCTAGAAATCACTTGCCTGTGCTGGAGAGCATCACACTGTGAGCGGTTTAAAGGCCTGGGCCTCAGCCTCACATTTTTTCCATTCTAAGCATACCTCTGAGTGAATTTTTAAATGTACAACAGGAAATCCAGGGATCTATTGTGCAGATCAAGGATGCATGGACAGAGGAAGAAGGAAGTCACATTAGAAAATTCATGCATATTGATTGAATCAATCATAGAATCCCTACAGTGTGGAAACAGGCCCTTCAGCCCAACCAGTCCACACTGAACCTCAAAGCATCCCACCCAGACCCATCCTGCTATAACCCACCTAATCTACACATCCCTGAACACTAGGGGCAATTTAGCATGGACAATCCACCTAGCATGCACATCTTTGGACTGTGGGATGAAACCGGAGCACCTGGAGGAAACCCACACAGACATGGGGAGAATATGCAAACTCCACACAGACAGTCGCCCAAGGGTGGAATCGAACCTGGGTCCCTGGCGCTGTGAGGCAGTAGTGCTAACCACCGAGCCACCGTGCCACCCCATCACCATGTGATGAAACTTTGCAAAAATGACTTCAATCTCAATTTGTAGTGGGTCAAAAAATGTTCCAATCTGAACTCCCCCACAAAATGCTGCAAACTATCGCAGAACTTTAAGGTCTTTTAGTTGTTAATCAACAAAATCGAAAGAAGTGATGTGATGTGTGCATTGATTCTATACATTATTAGTTGAAGATAAGGTGTTTCATTTGACCAAATTGAATTTGATCATAAATACTGAACAATACGTTCATTTCATCCAAGGAAGATCCAGTTGTTGTGGTCCAAGTAGGAATCAACAACATAGAAAAGATTAGGAATGTAAGAAAGTTCAAGGGCTAAGGGTCCAAATGAAAACAGAACCTTAAAGGTGAAAGTTTTCAATAGTTACCTGAGTCACACACCAAGTAGTATAAGTCACATTACTGTATTAAGTATTAAAGGAAACAATTCAAAATATTCAACACATTTTCAACTTTTAATTTAAAGATTTATTCCTGGCATTACAGAGAAGTCAAGGATATAAATTACTGGATAGTAAAGCAGTCACAATGGATTGGCAGTTATCTATATCTAACATTGTTATTCAAGGAAGGATGTAGAGAGAAACAGAAAACATCAGGCCAGTTATCCTGATATCAGTTGTTTCGAAAATGTTGGAATCTATTACTTAGGAAATTTTTCCTATGTATGTAGAAAATCATAGTAAATCTAAAAGTCAGCAAGGTTTTACAAAAGGGAAATCTTGTTAGGCAACTTCTTTTAAAGAATGTTTTGAAGATGTAACTAATATATAGATGACCGAGGACAAGTAGATGTATTCTACTTTGATTTCCAAAAAGGAATTGGTACAAACATCTCACACATAAGATAAAACTTCCAGGAGTTGTGGATAGGTTATTGGTATGGATGGGTGATTGGTTAACACAACAGGAAACAAAAATTTGGAATAAATGAGACATTTTCAAGTTGGCAGGCTAGGGCTTGTAAAGTGGCATATGGACCAGTGCTGGAATCTATCTACAATCTATATTAATGTCCAAGATAAGAATAGAGAGTAATGAATCTAAACTTGCTAATCATTAAAAACTAAGTGGGAATATAAACTGTGAGGAAGGCACAATGAGGCTACAAAGAGATACTCTCAGATTAAATGTGTAAGCAACAAGGTGCCAGATGGAATATAATGTGGGGGTTATTTACTTTGGTAGTTAAGAATAGAACAGCAGAATACTATTTTTATAAAGGCATAAAATTTGTACATGTTGCTGTTCAGAGGCACTTGGGGGGAAATTATTCAAGAAATGTAGCATGTAGGCACAGCAAGAAATTAAGAAGGTGAATGGCATATTGGCTTTTAATGTATCATGATTTTAATGCATCATAGATCAGACTACAGTTGTTCAAAGGTTTGATGAAGACATACTTACAATGCTATAAACAGTTTTGTTCTCCATTTCTACAAGAATAACTACCTATCTTGGAAGTGACACAGCAAAGTCTCATGAGATTGGTCCCAGTGATAAGGGTTATTCCATGTTGAAAGGTTACATTGGGCCTATGTTGACTGGAATTCAGAGGAATGAGAACTGATCTCGTTAGAAGCATATTCTGCCAAGGGAAACAGGTTCTCCCTATCCATTTTATCCATGTTCTTCATAATTTTACACACTGCAATTAGGTCTCCTTTCAGCCTCCTCTACTCCAAAGGAAACAAATTCTAACCAATCCAATTTGTCCTCATAACTAAAACCCACCAATCCAAGTTACATTCATATATATCTCCCTCTGTAACTTCAAATGCAATCACACCTTCCCTCTGGTGTGATGACAAGAACTGCATCAACTACCATTCTTGCTGTTGCTTAAAACTGCATTTTATGTAGTCCCAGTATATCCACCAGCTAGTATAGTTTATCTCTGAGATAACAGGGCACTTGGTCTCAAAAGTGGCAACTTACTTTCGCACCATACAAATGCCAGGTGACGACCATGTCCAATAACAGATAATCTAACCATCATGCCTTGACATTCAATGCCGTAACCATCACTAAATCCTCTACTATCAATACCTTGGAGGTTACCATTGACCAGAAACTCAACTGGACTCACCACATAAAGACAGTGGCTACCACAGCAGATCCGAGGCTAGGAATCCTACAGTAAGTCTTCCCTTGACTCTCCAAAGCGAGGCCATCATCCACGAGATACAAGTTAGGTGTGTGATGGAATACTCCCCACTTGCCTGGATGAGTGCAGCTCCAAAAACACTCAAGAAATTTGACACCATCCAGGGCAAAGCAGCCCACTTGATTGGGAATACATCCATAACCATCTACACCTTCCACCACTGATGCTCAGTAGCAGCAGTGTGGACTATCTACAAGATGGGCTTTAGAAATTCACCAAAGATCCTCAGACAGCACCTTCCAAACCCACAACCACTTCCATCTAGAAGGAGAAGGACAGCAGATATATGGGAACACCAGCATCCAAAAGTTTCCCTCCAAGTTTCACTAAGTTGACTTGAAAATATATCTTGTTCTTTCACTGTTATTGGGACAAAATCCTGGAATTCCTTCCCTAATTGTGGGTCTCACGACAGCACTTGGATTGCAGCGGTTCAAGGAAGCACTCGCCACCACTTTTACAAGGGCAATTAGGGATGGGCAATAAATGCTGGCCGAACCAGCAATGACTACATCCCACAAGAAAATTCTTCAACGAGCTCAATAAGGTACACACTGAGGGTGTTTTCTCAGGCTGCAGATACCAGGGCACGGGATAAAAAGCCAATCATTTAACATTGAGATGAGGAGAGAATTCGTCAGTGTTAATTTTTGGAATCCCCTTCCCACAGGAAGGGACCAGTTAGCTCTGTTGCCAAGATGGCTAATGTGTGGTTCAGAATAATGCTAACAACACAGGTTCAATTCCCATTCCAGCTGATGTAGTCTTGGGGTCTGCTTCTTTGCCTGTCCCATATTTGAGGCAAAGTGGTGCCCCTCAAGTAAGGCAAATTATTGCTCTTTGATAAAAAGTGGTGCTGATAGTCTCTTGGAGACTATAATTAATTATATACAACCCAGCTGGTGTGGATTCTCCATCATTGAATATGTTTAACACTGAGATAAACAGATTTTTTGATCCCTCCAGAAATTGAGGAACATACAGTAGTGGGTCAGAAAATGAAACTGAGACAGAAGATCAGCCATGATCAAGTTAAATTGCACAGCAGGCTTAAAAGGCTAGCTGCTTTAGGCCTGTTATTATCTCTTATCTTCTTTTTACTTTAGTTTAATGATTTGAATCAAATTTTGCCTTATCTAGTGTCAAATTGTCTGGAGAAATTGAAGAAAAATGTATGTGTGAAAAGCACAGAGATCCGGTACACATTGTTACAACTTCACATCGTACTTTTGTTCAACATATTAAAAGTGAAATGTGAGCAAACTCTTAGGTTGTTTAGACCCCTTGCAGGAGCAGTGACCATCAGCAAACCCCAATAAAATATCTCCAACAGACAATAAATGATGACAAATCATATATTCCCTACAAGGCGCTCTCAACAATGCACTTGTTTAAATACATGTACATTCAGAAACGAAACATAAGAAAAACTACTTCCAAATGATTCTACTAAATCCATGGCTCACAAGATTAATATCAGATAATGATTCATTGGGTCTTGAAAAGCAGCAGAAGTGATCTTTTCTACTTACATTTTCAGTCCATCTAAAAATCAAGTTATGGGAATTAAATATAGAAATTGTATTCTGGGCAGTATGTATGCAATCAGGCAGAAAGAATCAAATTACAGTTAAATTTTTCACAAACATGAAGTGGAAATGGAAACAATACAAACAGATTTCTTATCTGACATGACATTTTTTAAAATTGAAGCAATAATAGATTCACCTTCATAATAAGTCTGCTTGGAAAATAAAAGATGTGTCTACTCATTTACTCTATTATTTGTAAAAAAATCAGGATGAAAAACATATAGGGTGATGGCAATCATGAACAAACAGTACATTAAATGCATTTTCCTAGAACGTAAAGAACACTGATCAAAATCTCAAAGGAATATATAAATAAGTTATCCAAGACACGCAACATGTGCTGTAATTCAATGACCTTAACTCATTACAGTTTCACCCTAATCTTACAAACAAAATTAAATGTAAAATATTACATAAGAAAGTACGGGGTGACATTTTCTTCCAATGTTTCTCTAGAAGACCATTTCCAACAGTAATCTTGGAATGAGAAAAAGGAGAAACAGACACACAGACAGACTGTGTTACAGCTTAAGACAAGAAAGATTTGAATCTTAAAAATGCATGCAAATCAACTGTGGACATGGCCAGAGAGAAGATGGTGGGCACCATAAATGGAAAGTTGCTGAATAGAAGCAAGTCATGTTTCGCTGAGGACCTGGTACAAACCTTGGCAAAAGGAAAATTGAGATGTACATTAAGAGAAACATAGACACAAAATAAAAGAAACTGGAACAAAAGAAAAGAAACTGTAACCTAACTCAATGAAACATCAATATTTCTAAACATCAGCAAATATGACTCACCACATAGTTGGGAGGAATTCTTGCTCCAAATCCTAAGGCAGAAAACTTCTTGTCACTAAAAGATTTAAATTTGTATATTATATCAGTAGGAAAGATAGGGTTATCAAATTAAATTCAATTTCAGCAAAGACCTTGGCAATTTGAAAAGTTGTTGCTTTAGCATCAACACAGGCAAATATTTTCATTTGTCTCCTCATTCAGCTGAACATCAATTTAACTGTGAGCAAGTTTCTGGTGAGAATGTATTGGTTTCAGTCAAATTCCCACACACCGTCAACAGAATGAGATCATACAGCGATTTTAAATGCCTGGTCTTATTAGGATATTACCTCTAAGGTTTTACAGTAGATTTGTAGCTCGGGTTGTGGATGTTATGGGTGGTTGGCTCGCCGAGCTGGTTTGTTGTTCCGCGGACGTTTCATTACCCTGCTGGGTAACATCATCAGTGCAGATTCCGATGAAACATTGTGGTGTTTTCCCGCCTGTTATTTAAACTCTGGTGTCTGTTGAGCTGGATAACCTCACTTCCGGTTTTCCTTCACAGTGCAGTGTTTATGGGGTCTAGCTCTATGTGTTTATTGATGGCTTTCCTAGTGGAGAACCAGGCCTCTAGGAATTCATGTGCTTGTCTCTGCTTCGCCTGTCCCAGGATCCTGGTGTTGTCCCAATCGAATTGGTGGTTTTCCTCATCCATGGGGATGGAGATGAGTGAGTGTTGGTTGTGTCTTTTTGTTGCCAGTTGATGTTCGTGTGCCCTTGTGGTTAATTTCCTTCCTGTCTGTCCAATGTAATGTTCGTCGCAGTCTTTGCAGGGAATCTTGTACATGACATTGGTCCTGCCCATAATGGGCACTGGGTCTTTGGTTCGGGTTAGCAGTTGGCGTGGGGTTGATGTTTAGTGGGAAGCAACTATGAAAATTCAGACCCTCAGCAACTTGTCAATTCTCCAGGTTCCACAAAAAGGAAAGTCAGAAAAGTTACTTGAATGATGTGTTCTGTTTCCAATCATTTCCTTACTAGAATTCACCTGGTGGAAAAGCCTTAGTGAGTTCGCTGCTCACAATAGTGGATTGGGTGATGTCTCCAGACTCAAGGTTACATCTTTACAAATGGACCACAGTGGAAAAACAGCTTAAAGTCAAAGGTTTCAGAGATAGTAGGAACTGCAGATGCTGGAGAATCTGAGGTAAC